GTCATTTCTAATCCACAGTGGGAAGAAAGGATGATTCCCAGAGCACCAGCACCCCCCTGAGACACTCAGGAAATTCTTTAAATTGGTACTTTAAATAGTGCCAATCTTATCTCTGGTGGTAAGGAAGGGGAAGAGAACTCACTTGACCCAGTGAAGTCATCCAGTCAAATGCCCTGCCACATAAGGAAATTCCCAGAATATTCTTCATAGAATGGGTTATCCAGAGCTAGATAAACTGCTCCCTGAGGTCCCTGCAAGGTTAAGGGCAGCCAGTTCTATTTCAGGCTTTCTTCTCTGGCCCTGTCAGATCTCTGAAGACAGGAATGAAACTGTTTTCCATCATTTTCCTTTCCAGCCAGGGTCTGGGAAACTTTGCGCCAGTTTTGAAATTTATCATCCCCATCTCTACCCCAAAAGTGTAGGCTTTCAAATATCAGACTAGGAAAGCTGCTATATTTTAGATGAGGGTGATTTTCTTCTGTTTTATGGATGGCAAATCCAAGGCCCCAAAGGTCAAGTGTCTGTCTGTGTTGATGAAAGCAGACTAAGCACAGACTGTTGAACTCAGACCTGCCCAGTCAAGTATTCCAACTCGGTCATTACTAGCTGGTGAACTTTGGGTGAAGTACTTAATCTACTGGGATCTATTTCTTTATCTATAAAGTTAAAAGAATATGTAATTTGTAGAGTTGCCATGAAGTTAAAATGAAAAGCAAAATACAAACAGTCAAGAACTCAGTTTACTCATCGCACTTTCATCTCAGAAAGTCATCATGGGACTTAGCTCAGTTTGTTGCGAGAATTAATAGGTTGATTCATGAAAAACTCTCCAAACATTTCCTGACACATAGTAAGTACTGAGTAAATGTTTACTGTTATTTGGGAACGGTATACACGTATACCTGAATTTAAATGCCATTCCTCTTTGTGCTGATAGTCCTACTAGATCAAGTATCTCTTGACTCTTTTCTCACCCTATGTTATTATGGTTTATTTGTCCATCTTCTTACTAAATCCTTGGCTTCTTGCTCGATCCTAGGCTTTATGAGTTCAGGGTAACTTTTCTCCCCAAAATTTGTTGATGAATTGCTAGGCTAGGCTCCAAAGGATCCAGGAGAAAAATAACATGTGTGTCCTGACTACTCAGGTGACAAGACACTAAAATAGCCAGTTGAGTACCTTGCCTGATATTTTCAGTTGCAGAATCCAGCTGATGCCAGAGGCAGTAACTCAGGCCCCTTGCTTCTCCCCAGTACCCATGTGGCATTTATGTCAGTACCCCTCATCCCTGGGGCTCTGTACCCCAACCTTGATCCAGCAGGTACCGTTAGAAAATCTGATATTCCGGGGCCCTCCTTAGAAAATCTGCAAGAGGTTAAAACATAATACTATGAAGCTCGCCACAGTCACTGCAGCATGAGCTAGATCTCTGGCCAGAAAGCTGACCCACATGACTCAGCAGACCTCTCCTGTCTCACCCGCTGCTCCCCTCAGCAGTGTGTTTCAGTCAGTCAGCCTGTTCTGCTCCCCACTCTGTCTCTGGTGACCCCCCCCCACACACCACCATATCACACCTTTGGCTTTTACCCCAATTCTTGTATGCATAAATAAATAAATATTTAAGAACAGAAAAAGGCAACTATGTGAGTAGCCCCAGAATAAGCAAGTGTGACTCAGTGGACAGCAGGACCCAGTGGAGGACTCAGAGGAATAGAGCACAGAGACAAAGGACTTGGAGCAAGTGAGTCAGCAGTGGGTAGGAACCATAAGCACAGCTCCCTGGGCTGAGTGCGAGGTGAGTTTGAGGCCACCTAGGAGAGGATGTTGGCTCTGATTTGCCTTCTCAGGGATCAGCAGAAGGGGATGGGGGGCACGGCAGTTAGGTGGACAACCTTGGCAGACCCCCAGAGGAAAACTGACGCTCATGACTGGCTATGTGACTGGCCTGATCTTCCCTGTGTGTGTGCTGGGGGGAAGGGGAGAGACTAGAGTCTGCCCCCACAGCTTCCTGTACTCACTGACCAACCCCCCACTGTTCGTCAGGCCCAGCAACTCTGAACTGCTCCAGCAAGCCAGATCCTGAACCAAAGACTGGGCATAGGGACAGGGTGCTTGTGGGAGGGGAGGTGTTGGCCCAGAAGTGACTGAAGGCCTCTTGCAACCACACTGACCAGTGTCCATGAAGCAGGGGTCTTTGCATGCTGATGGGTCTGGAGCTCCATGTGCTGGGTCTGTGGGGAGTGGGTGCAGGGAGGATTGGGGAGGCCAGGGGGTGGGGGGCAGGAGGTGGGTAGAAGGGAAGGCATCTGTCTCTGCCTCCCTCTCAGATCCCCTTTTAACAATCATGGTGAGAGAGTAGGTCTTTAAGGCAGGACCAAGAGACAGGAGTCCCCACTCCTCCAACCAAAGGCTTCCGAGAACCCCACATTCATCAGTGTGTGAGTGTGTGGGTGCCCACGCTGAGGGCTCACGCCAGAGCATCGGCTTAGAAGAGTCCCCAGACACAGGTCACGGCCAAGCCCCACAGTTGCTCCATCTGCTGGGATCGAGGAATTGCAAGAGGCTCCTTCCCGCACCTCTGGGTGGCCAGAGGTGCAGAGGTGCCCAGCAGCGTGTTAGATTCCCTGGCCGCAGAGAAGAGGGGTGCTGGGACTGCAGAGCCCGAAGTGGGACTCCTGGGGCGAAGCCAGAGCCTCGTGGCCTGGTCTCGCCAGGCAGGGGTCTGTGTCAGCGCAATTTGCCTCCCTGCTCCCCTCACTTTGGGCCATAGAGCAGACGCTCTCTCTGAGGAATCCCATCGCCCTTCCTCTGCCCCAAGCTGGGCTTCCTGCAGTAGCCTGAGGACCATAACAACAGCCCACAGAGCTCTCAGCTGGTACCTCCCATTCTACCTGTAAAGGGGGGGTGGGGAGACAGCCTGACCCTTTGGCTGTCAACAAAGCCCCCCCCCCGGTCTCAGTTTACCTGTAAGAACACTGAGGAGACTCAACTTGTTTCCTAATGTGTTGCCCACCTCTGAGCAGCTATGTCCTAGGTAAAGACATCTCCTGCTTTCCAACCACCCTTACCCCACAGGGGGAAGACGGGGCCATGCCAGGGCCCTAGCACCGCTCCCACACTCAGGAAATGCCCCTTTGCCCTCAGCCCTGCCTCCCTGTCCGCAACCTCACCCCCCAACACACGCACACACATACCACAGGAGAGGGCAAGGAAGACTGTTTAACAGAATTGCAGAATAGAAGGGAATTTGGAAACCATCTACTTATGACTTTATTATCATGATGTTTAAAAAATTATTTATTTATGGAACTGGGGTACAGGCTAGAGATGCAGGGGTGAGAGTATACACCAGAGACAGAGTGGGGAACAGAACAGGCAGATGCTAAAATGACTGCTGAGGGGAGTAACAGACGAGGCAGGAGAGGTCTGCTGAGCCATGTGGGAAAGCTCCCTGGCTGAGGATCAAGATCCTTCGTGTCTACAGGTAGCTTCATAGTGCTACACTTAAACTCCTTGCATCACCAGGGAGTGCCCATGGTTTTTAAGAGAAAATTCATGTAACAGAAAATTTACCACTTTGAAGTAAACAATTCAGATGTTTTACTTGACCCCTTTCTATGCAGCTCCAAAATATTTTCATCACCCCAAAGAAAACCCTACCCCCTTTAAGCTGTCAGTCCCCACCCTCCCTGTCCCTGGCACCTGGCAACTACCAGTGTATTTTGTACTTCTGTGGATTTGCCTGTTGGAGATATTTTGCATCAGTGGAATCAGAGATGTCTGGCTCCTTTCCCTCAGCATTGTGTGTTCAAGATTCATTCCTGTGGTAGCATGAAGCAGTGTGCACTCTTTATCATGACTGAGTAATATTCCACTGACTCATTATTTTTGTTAAATATGGAGGACTGACACATGCCAGACACTGTGTGGGGGCTGGGCTTACTTTATTCTTTTTGAAGACGAGAGAAGGGAAAGTCTGAACAGACAATGACTTGTGTAAAGGTAATACAGCTGCTTATGGTTGAATGAACCCTGCTGGGTCTTGATGCCCAGGCACCTGCAGGGCTTGAGAAGAGTAGCTAGAGAGGGCAGAGGGCAGAAGGCTAAGAGAAGCCCACTAGGGGAAGACCACCCACTTGGCGGTGTGACAGGGTAGGAGGAGGTGAGGTGGCTTCCTGTCAGTCACTCCCTCTGCCAGGCCCTGCTCCCCCGGATCTCCTCCCCAGAGGGGTCAGCACCTTCTGACCAATGTGCTTTGCCTACCTCTACTTTAGCTCCTTGTCTCTGCAGCTTTCCTCCAACCCCATCCCCAAAGTTGAGCTATCTGGGGGTCCCTGGCAGCATGGGCTCAGTCTCTGGGGAGACAGTTCTGACTTTTACCTTCAACCTTGACTTTGGTCTATTCTTGTTCCTCCGCTGAAGCCTGGTCAGCCTTTCACCTACCTGAGTTGCCCTACCTGGCTCTCCTCCGACTACTGCTTCCCCAAACCCTAGTGGGATCTGCCACCCCTTAGAGTGGCAGTTCCAGTCTCTCTCTAGACATCAAATGGTCCAGGAGGGGGCGGAGCCAAGGCTATTACTGCTTGAGAAGCTGCCTGTACCTCTGGCCCATGTCTTTGGGTTACAGACATTGAAGACATGGAGGTAGTTCCTCGTTGATCACGTTTCTTACAGGGTCTCTTTCTCTTTCTCCCCCTCCCCACCAGCCACACACCTCTCCTCCCCCTACTCCTCGTTTTGCCTCTGGGAACCAGACTTCTCACTCTCCCTACCCCAGTCTCCCCTCCTGTTACGAGAATCCCCCGCAGATGACAGATAAAAGTTTAGTTTCAGGAATGTCTCCAGGAACCGGGGGTACAGAAGTAGCTCGAGGTTGGGGGGCATGGTGAGGCTCTGTTCTGCACATCTTTCAGCCACCCCACAGCTTCTTGCTGAAGGGGCAGGCGGTCGGTTGAGCACCACGGAGCTGGGGTCTGTGTGGCCTCTGTGGCCCCACCTGCCTGGCGTCTCTGCTAGGTGTATCCGGGTCTTCTCTTGCTCATCCTTATGAAAAACTTTGCCTTGGAGAGAGAGTAGAGCGGCACGGCCACCCGATCCTGCAACAGGCTTTGGTAGTTGTTCACAAGGTCCCGGCTCAGGGGCGCGCTGGGCAAGAGTGCCAGCTTTTGCGCCTTCTCCTGGTAATGAGGCAGAGGATTCGGGCAGGGCCAGCTCTTGGCTAAATCATTGGGAAGTGGGTTGGGCATGAGCTGGAAGCCTCGGGGTTCAAACCTTCCCCCAGCTGAAAAGTGCCGGTACCTGTTGGGGGAAGGGACGTGGAGAGAACAGAGACAGTTCAGAGGAGAGATCCAGGCAGGGCGGAAGCAGAAGGGAAAGCCTGGAACTGCCTTCCACCAGCCTGGAGCCCTCTGGCTGTGGGCCTTTCCACAGCTCCTCCTGGGCACTGCTTTATGCTAAGTGGCCTGTACACTCTGTCTATGTCAGCTGTAGGTGGATGAAGTAAAGTCATTCAGAGGGGCGGTCTTTTGTCCTTTCGAGGTCGTGCATAGAATACCATTATGCAGATCCTAACTTCTTCAAGCCCACCTGCTCTGCTAACACTGTCTGTGCGTCCACGTGTGAACTCAGCACAAATTCTCCTTCTCATCACCAGTGAATGTGGGGTGTCCCAGAGCCCCTCCCACTCGCTGCCGTCGGATACCTGGGGTGTTGGTTCCCTCTTCTACAGCCTGTAGTACTAGATGCAACATTAGGAAATTGACTTAAAACATGGTGGCATCGAGGCAAAAATCCTCTGGCTTGACAGCTTGGCTTCTGGTTCAAGAGACAGCCCGCTGGCTGGTTTTCGTTGGCATCAGAGGTTCTCAGGCCTGGCTGCCCATTGGAATCACCCAGGGGAGATTTGTTAAAATACCTGCTGCCCAGGTTATCCCCTGGGTCAGGTAAGTTAGATTCTCCCAGGTGAGCTCAAAATCGCAACTTTTTTCCCAGCATTTTTTAAGAGGCCCTGGTTTCTTATACTACCAGAATCAAAAGTGGCAGGGCTTATCCATAAATGTTCTATTCCTCAGCAAGACGATGTGCATCTTGAAGCTTAACATTTTCTTACCTGTCTGAAGTCCTCTGGGTTCCTCATGCTCAGAACCTGCACTCTGGTTCATTTAGAGTCATTTGAAAAATTGCTTTTAGCCCTTCAGAGAGCTGTTCATCAGAACCCTGCTGGCCTTTCTTCTGGCTGCTCTTTCTTGTTCCCACCTGGTGAACTCTGTATGTGTCCTGCAAGGTCCAGCTCAAACAACACCTCCTCCACCAGTGCAAGCTTCACTCCCTCCTGGTCCCGGGGAAGGGACCTGCAGCAGTAACAAGCAAAGGAAGACCCTTCCCTGCCGTGGAGACTCCGTCCTCATCACAACTGTTCAGGAGCCCTCTCTGTAAGCCAGGCGCCTTGCCTTCTAATGGTCTAACTACCCCGCAAAGTAACAGGTACAGTTCCAATACATACTTGAGGAAAGCGAGGTCCAGATGAATTTCAGAAAGTCATGGTTGCAGTGCAAGTCTGTGACGGAGCCAGGTAGATCCGAAGGCCTTCTTGGCTCCAGAAGGTCCTGTTTCTGTCTCCACAACTACTCATTTCTCTGTATGTCAAGTACTGTGTTAAGTTCCTTTTATGGTGATTATGTTCTTCTTATACTTCCTTTCTAGAACATCATATTATATTAGAAATAGCCGTGGACATGTCTGATTCCCTACTCAGGAAAGAGGGGAAGTAAAACATAGTGGCTAAGAATATAGCTCTCTGGAGCTTTCCTCCTTGGGTTCAACTTTCAGCTCTGCCACTGGCTGGCCGTGAGAATTTAGGCAAGATCCTTGACCTGTTTGTGTTTCAGATGCCCCATCTGTGAAATGGTTGATGATAATCTAACCAGAGGATAGTGGAAAGAGTAAATGATACAGGTAGGGTGATTGGAACAGGGTCCAGCACTTTCACCTGACCCTCTTCTGGGGCACAGCCTGCCTTACCCACTTCTGTATGTCCAGCATTTGCACATATTAGCGGTCAGTCACTTTCATGCAAGGGCGGCAGAGAGAAGCTGAGGTCCTGGATAAGCTCTCAGGACCCCCAGCACGGCCTGGTACTTACCATGCCCACTTTTATCACATATTTTTGCGATTAAAAATCTCCATAGGCCTCCCTCCAGCTCCTGGTGTTGCTGTCTCAAACTCAGGGATTGGAGTTTGAGACATTCTACCATTCCTGCTCTCCCGTTTTTCAGCTAGTCAGGCCCAGAGCCTGCTGGATTGTAAAGGGTGTGGAGACACACGTGGGGCTCCCCCTGGGCAGGAGGGAGAGGTGAGGGTTCTCAGTTCCTTCCTCAGTCCTGCCTTTTCCAGTCAGCACCATCTGAGAGCTTTCTCCTCCCAGCCTTCCTCCAGATTCCTCACAAAGACTTCCTGGGAGAATGCTCCAGCTCCCAGCATTCCCCCTTTCTAGATTTCTGTAACTGCGTCTATTTTTTGAGCAGGTAATGCTTTCATCTCTTCGCGCATCCACTTTCTCTTCACCTGCGGAGGTTGGCCTGGTTTTCACCACGCCCACGTTATCAGTGATGGAAACACGTCTGGGAAAACTATGCCCTTTGCCCAAGTAACACAGTCTGGACTTCACCCCAGGCCTCTGGCTCCGGCTCTCAGCAATTCCCACTCACAGTCGACACCTTTTCGCCCATTCTCCGGCACTTGTTTGTGCTTTCGTGCTGATCACGCATGCAGGCCTCTCGAGAGCTCCTGGAGATCAGGGACTGACTGCCGATTTCTGTCTTCCCAACGCCTCAGAGGTGCTAGGTCCAGTTGTATACACACAACTTCGCTTACCTAATGAAGCCCAGCTTGCCGGGTCTTACCTTGTCTCCAGCCCTGCTCACGAGAGCTAGGTACAGAGGAGTTTGGTTTCAGGTGACAGGAAGGTGGGAAGAGCCCACAGGATAGAGAGAAACCAGGACGGAGAGGGGTCGGATAAACACGGGTGAGCTGGGTGAGCTCCCTAAGGAAGGGCTCCTCTTACTTCTTGAAGTTCTTTGGGGGCAGGATGTTGCCATTGGTATCAAGGGGTGGTGCCCTTGCTTCACTCCTCAGCTTGAGTTTCTCCATCTCTTTGAGCTCCTTCATTGTCCTACAAATGACCTGGTTCTTCCTTTTCGTGTCCAAGAAGATCGGAGTACATTTGATGAAGGCCAGAAAGTTGTTTGGGCCCATCAGGGAGGGAGGGGGGACGGGGGGTTCTGCTGGGGGGCAACGGTGGGCGTTGGGGTTGGTCAGCCAGCGCCAGACATTGCTATCATAGGGCTTGTCTGGCCGGGTGGGAAAGGTGGGGGGCAAACGCCCCACATCGAGCCACGTGTGGAAGCCCCAGGTGTGCTGGCTCGTATCCTTGCAAGGGTAGAGGACTTGCTGGTGCACCTTGAACTTAGATTTTGTGCGGGGTGGTGGCTTCAGGGCCAGATGGTGGTAGCTTTGTGGGGTGAAGCCAGGCAACTCCCAGGACTCACTGGGCAGGAGGAATTCACGCTGAGCCCACGTTTGGTCGGTCGGTTGGGACTCATGGGCATGGACCATCTAGGGGAGAGACAAAGAGGACCTTGGGCACAACATTCTGCCTCTCCTCCCTGGGAGCAGGCTGAGAACACGCTGCCAGCCTCTCCAAAGATTCTCCTGAGCACACTGGTGCCTGGCACCCTGCTCCCCGTTCCTCTCCTGCCCACCAGAAGTGATGGCTCCTCTCCTCTCCTCGGGTTTCTCAGCTTTTCTTTCTTCTCTTTCCATTCATCATGGATTGGATTGCATTTCTCACCTTCTTCTCTCCTGTCCATCCTGGTGCCCCCCCCCCCTATTCCTTAGGCACAGCAGGCTGAGGAAGGTGAGTGGGGAGATCCCCCTTACTGCTCTGAGTGTACAAGGAAAGTCTCATGGCTCCTTTCTGTCGCTGGTGTGTTCCCTTCACCTCTTGTTAAAATATAAGAACGCACCTAGAATGTTGGTACCTCCCCTTTCTAGCACCCACCCCCATGAAGGAAACAGTAGCCAGTGTTGCTCCTCTCCCAGATGTCAGATAACCCCCAAGCCGGTGGAAGCAAGTATTGTCCCCATCTCAGAGATGCCCTCAGTGTGACAAGTGGGGGTCACTCCCTCAAGGCTGTCTTGTGTGGAAGGCTTGTCTGCCTTTCCTCCTCCCTGCCCCTAGACTTACCTGATTCCCAGCTCCCACCTGTGTCTTGGTTCCTCCCCCTAAGTCATCTCTACAATACCACCCCTGGGCTGGTGTGGGGGAATGGGTTTCTAACTAGGCATCTCCTCTCCTCGCCTGTTCAGTGTCACAGACGCTGAGAGGAAGCCAGTGGCCGGGAGCCATGCTGCCCACCCCGGGGAACAGCCTCAGCATGGGCAAACAGGTAGCTTAGGAGATGAGACCCCACCCCCTACCTGCAGGAAAGGTGCTCTGTCCTGGGATGGACTGCTCCACCCCTGGGGTGATCGTAGGAAGTTACTGGCCATCTTTCTTCTTGGCTGTTTGCTAGGAGGGACAGTTTTGTAGTGAAGGCTTTCCAGGCAGCATTGTTTGCTGCTGGGTTGCTATGGTGATGCATCCTGGCTGGTGACGCAGGCAAGGAAGCCCTGAGACCTCCCTGGGACACCTGTCATTCCCTTGGGCTCCTGCTCCCCCATGGCTCCCAGGTGAGAGGCAGGGTATAGGACTCAAATTCTGACTGCTGTAGATGGTAACAGGAGCCACCTCTGGGGAGGGACTAGCCTGAGAGGGCTGGGAGAAAAGCCAGCAGGCTGGCAGCCAGGTCTTGGCTGGTACGTGGAGGTGGTCATGAAGCGCTTCGTGTGGCAGGGGACATGGGAAGGTTTGCTGCTGGGTAGGACTTTTTGTCATTGGGGAGCTAGAAAAGGCCTCAGTTAACCAGCAGGCCCACAGGCTCTATAAGACCATTTGTGCAGACCCAGCACTGGGCCAATTGCTGGCTTCTGTGTCAGGCAGGTGTGCGCCCGTGTAGAGCATGGGCAGGTGACCCTCGCCCAGGCCATTTGCATTCTCCTTCCAGGGCTTCTTCATGCAGCTGTAGGCCTTGCCTCTTCTGTGACCACTACCTTCATCACCCACTTTCTTTTCCAACCCCTGCTTCTGCCTTGAGAACCAGACACCAACACAGAGACCAGCATTTCCACCCTGGATTTTATTGAGTAGGTAGTTACAGTAGTGTTCTTAGCTGGCTTACGTGCACGTGGTGGCTTTCTGCAAAGCTGAGATGCAAGCTGAGGAAGGCAGGCAGGTCAGGGCCCTGCTAGCCTTCTCAAGCCTCTGGCTAAGTCCTCATCAATGCTTGTCTCTCTGGCATGATTAGGAACATTATCAGAGAAACATCTCAGGGGTGCACACCCACATTCTTTGCTTCAGATGTGCCCCTCCCCCTCTCCCAATTCAACTCTTGACAGCATACAAGAGACTTTTTCATGGGCTTTCTTCCCGTAGGAAAGCTGACTTGGAAATGTGAGTCAGTGGAGGGAAGGCCCTGGCCAGCGCCTACAGTAAAAATCTCTGAGCTGGGAACCTGGAGCCTGCAAGAACTGTGCCCTGCAGTTCCTTGCTTCCCTGGGAGTGAAAGAAAGGAACAGAAGCTACTGGAACCTGGTCAATCTACCCACCTCTGGCAGTCTCTAGATAATGATCTAAGGAAATATGCTTACATTTATAGTTAGAGGGTAATTTGGGAAATATACAGTATGTACACGGGGAAGGAAGGAACGGGGAAGGTGAGCGACTGCTGGGCAGAGAGGACAAAGACTGGGGAGTTTCCTCATTTCTCTTCACCCTTTTTTTGGCTCTTCCCACCCTAGAAGGCAGAGTGAAGGATCAGCATCTCTCGGGGGGGCTCAAGGTGGGAGAGACCGGCTCCAGGGCCTCGCAGCTGGCCGGGAACAGTGGCAGCTGTGGAGTGGCCTAACAGGCAAGGCGGGCTCGCGGAGCAGGCATCTTGGCCTGTCTTCCCGGAGGGCCTGCGAGGATGTCACACGAGCGCCTGGCACGGACGGCTTGAGCGGCAAGGGGAAGGCCGCATCTCTACCGCAGCTCGGGCATGAACTGGGCCCAGCTGACGTTGTCGGGGCCCAGCAGGTCCTCCTCCAGGCCAGGGAAGCTGATGTCCAGCAGGATCTTGCTGAGGCTGTCATTCATTGTGTCCAGAACCAGGCCTTCTGTCAGAGAACGGTTGGCTGAGAGGCTGGTGACCTGTGGTTCGGGGGAGTCTGGCTTGGCGACTTCCATATTTGAGGGGGAACAACTGCTGAAGGGGTCAGAGGTGAGGTCAAAGGGCTCGGAGTTGAGGAGCTCTCGGGGTGAGTCAAAGAGGGGGATGTTTTTCAGCGGGGTGGTGCTGAGCTCCGTCAGCCCCAGGGAGTCAGGCAGGGGGCCAAAGGCACCCTGGGGGGTTCGTACTGGGCTGAAATCTAGCTCCCCCACTTTGGTTGGGGGTGTGAGCCCCCAGGATTCAGGGGTCACGGGGAGGACAGACTTGCTGGGGGTGGAGGAGATGGGCAGCGTCTCCTTTATGGGTGTCTTGAAGGGCCCCCCCTCCTGGGCGCAGCCACGCTGAGAGGCAGGCTCGGAGGATGCGGCAGCAAGGACGAGCTCTGCAGCCGGCCGGGGCGGCCCGGGGCCCTCGGAGAAGAGCAGCTCAGGCTCGTCCAGACAGGGTGGCCGCAGATGCTGCTTCCTTCGAGACCGGCTCATCTCCCGCCTCTGCCTCCGCTTGATGACGAGCATTTCAGAGACACAGCGGGTGGGCGACCTGAGCCCACAGTGGGACTTCTTGGGCCCGGGAGTGGGAGAGTGGGCCAGATCCTCCCAGGAGCAAGACAGTTCCTCCTGGACCGAAGGGCAGGGCGAGGGCCACTCTTCTAGGGGCGGGCTCTCCACTTTGATGGGCCTCCCCGTGTGTGGCATTTCTTCCCCGGGCTGGATTTCTTCCTCCTTGATGGACTGAACTGGAAGCAGCGAAGACAGCTCTTCTCCAGGCAGGAGCTTCTCCTCCTTCACTGACCCTGGGGCGACCAGAGGGGCAATGCCCTCATCAGCCAACAGCACCTGAAAGGGAAGCAGGGTCCAGTGAGAGGGAGCTCTGTAGGCCTCAAGTCAACTCAGTCACCCCCTAAGGTGAGACGAAGGTGAGTGACATCCGGTGATCTTCCTCTTTTTTGTCATTTAAGTCTTAAAAATTATTAAATGTGTAGAGTATGATGAAGGCTTGATTCTGAGGTTGCTGGGGGGATTAGAGCATTTAATAAGTGGCAGGCATAATCTGTATTCAGCTGAGAGAAAACTGGATGCTTATTTCATACCAGAGATGAAGCCTGAAACAGGGAAATTAAAACCATACAAATCCTGAAAGAGAATCTGGGAGACTACAGACACAATCTGAGGGTAGGGGTAATCTTCAGCAAGACTAGAAACCCAGAAGCTGTAAAAGAGAAGAGAGAGGTATTTGAGTATATAAAAATTAAAAATCTTAATGTGGTAAGAGATAACCATGTACCTTTAGCAGGTTAAAGACAGGTTGATTTGTTAATAACAAAAAACTCTCACAAACTGTTAATAAAACCCTACATAAGCCCTGCATTAAGAGGGTCACTCCATAAATAAGCATCTCATACTGAACAATTCCAAACACAGCCAGAAGGTGCTAAAGTTTACTAAACAGCAGAGAGAGATAAAGGGAAAGAAGGGGATATCATGTATAGGTAGCAGGTAAGCAAATATTTCAAAGATGAACACTGTAGGCCACTGTTGGTCAAGATACAGGTCTTGCGGGCTGCTGATGGAAATGTGAATTATCATAGATGTTTTTGGGAAAGCACGACATTAAGTAAAATTTAAAATAGCCTTTCATTCCACAGTTTAATACTTGGGGTTCTATTCAATAGAAATAAAAGCACTGGGGGGAACTCTTTGAGGAGGGGCCCTCCCTGCTGGTGAAAGGGGTTAAGTGTCGGCACTGTGAAGCTAACCGCAGCCACAGGAGCACAAGTTCGATCCCCCACCAGGGAGCTGACACTAATGGCGCAGCAGACCTCTCCTGACCCGCCCGCTGCTCCCCTCAGCAGTGTACTTGGTCGATCTGCCTGTTCTGCTCCCCACTCTGTCTCTGATGAATCCTCTCACCCCCTGCACCTCTGGCCTGTACCCCAGTTCTGTATGCATAAGCAAATAAATCTTTAATAAAAAAACCCCAAATCATTACAGGCTGGAGGGGTGCAGTGGCCGGCACGGGCAGGGGTGCTCTTGGCAGCCAGTGGGGAAAGACAAGGTGCTGCAAAGCTCCCTTAGTGCACAGCACAGCACCCTGCACCCCTGTGGGAGTTACTCAGCCCCGAGTGGCAACAGTGCGCAGGCTGAGAAACTGAGCTGGGCTGACACCATCCGTTCTCCTATTACTGAGCAGAAACTGGTATTTCCTGTCTTCAGGCACTGCACATTAGAATGTTCCCTCGGTGCCTGTCTGTTTACCCTGATCTTTCTAAAACCTACCTCCTCTGTGAACTTAACTAGCCCAGTCCATCTGTCATAACCGCCTTTAATCTGTCAACTCATTGGGTATATACCGGATATTTACACTGGAATGTCAATTCCTTTCTGGCTCCCAAATACCATTACATATTCCTTTGTATTGCCTATGTGCCTTGTCTACCCACCTAGGTTTATAGGCTCCGCAAGGAACCCTTAGTGTACCTGGCAGGCTGTGGATCCAATACTTTAAATGGATGGGAGCATCTCTTGAGAGCAAAATAGAAGTCACTCACCTTGGGGGCAATACGGACCCGCTTGCTATGGCGGGCAAGCTCTGAGCTCATGAGGGAAGCCGCCAGAGGCAGCGGCACCTTTACCGAGGGCTGTAACACCAGAGACTGGTTCACTGGGAACTGGATGGGCACCAGGTACGAGCTGACCCTTGGTAGCAGTGGCTTCATCTTCCGCCCTAGGAGGAGACAAGTGAGATCAGGAGCAGGGGCCCGGGACACAGCCCTTCTCAACCCCAGGAGCCGTGCTCGCCCTCCAAGTTCAGATCCCTTTGAGCTGACAACAGAATCCCGGAGCCTGATTCCCTAAGCTCTGCCCCCAAAGTAGGACTAGGCCCGAGGCCCACTCTCCCATACTAACGTGCGCCCAGTGGGAGTTCAGTTTTGATGGTCACGTTCCGGCGGAGCTCAGGATTGGGCCGTTTCTGCTGCTGCTTGCGGCAGACAGGGAGAGAAAGAAACCTGGGTTAATAAGGCAGGGGAGCGGGGTGGGGGTGGGGTCCCCACCCGCTGCTGGGCACTGCACTGAGCCGTCCCACAGCCCAGCAAGAAAAGGCCAGTCTGCGCAGCAGATGCAGGTCAGCACTGTCTCAAAGCCTTGGCGAGTGGGGAAAGGCGGACAGCGTAGATACAGGCTGGCCGGACAGTCCTACCACCACTGCCCAGTGAGCCCTCACCACCCCCAGGGGAGGCCGAGGCGTTTAGCTCCGTGAGTGGCAAAGGAAAGCCAGGGGGACGATGGGAGTGAAACTGTCGCTTGTGAGGTCTGTCCCATGCTTATCACAGCTGCGCCTCCTGTCACACCCTGCTCATGAGGCCGTGGGAGGGGGAGAAGGGTGGGCAAGAGCCCTAATTCTGGTGGTCGCAAATTTCCTTACTCCTATGAGATCGGGGGTCCCGCGCTTAGGGCTGGCAGTCACCTGCCACAAGCTCCCTGTCCCCTGAGCACTGTGTCCCTGGCCACTAAAGCCATGCTGAGCAGGGAGAGGAAGCAAGGCCAAGCCCCGAGCCAGAGGAGAGAACCTTACTGATTGCAAGTGCTCGGGCGATTGTGGAGACACTGGGTCCAGTGGCTGGTGGTGGTCAGGCATTGGGGAAAGAAAGGAGAGGAAGTTACCACCCATGGGGTCGATGTGACCAGACTGCGGAAACACCTATTCCAGATAACTGTTCTGCTCAGGAGCACAGTCAGCGCTACCAGCAGGACTTGAGGACATTCTGCAATCCCCAAACAACAGCTTCTTTCTGAAAAGATGTTTCTGTGGCTCAGGCTTTGGTCTCCAGCCTGAAGATAAAGGACTTGTTTTTAAAAGAAGGTTTTTGTTTGCAAAGGTTTTCCAGGTAACACCTGAGGGGCTTGTTAAAAACACATTTTCCCACGCCTGCCCAGATCCACTGAATCAGGAGACCCAAGAGAGGAATGTGGAAAGCTTAACAAGATAATCCTAGGTCCCCGTCAGGCACAGGGAGCTGGGGAGATGCCACCCCTGGCGTGCAGGCCGGAGGTGCAGGGACAGTGCGAGGAGACACCAAAGACAGAGAGGGGAACAGAACGATGAGGTACACTTCTGAGGGGAGCAGCGGAGAGACAGGAGAGGTCTGCCGCGCCGTGTGGGTCAGCTTTGGGGCCGGGGACCGAAGTGGCGGGGCCAGCTTCACAATGCTGCACTTTAACCTGGTGTGCCACCAGGGAACCCTAGTTCATCGAGTTTTATGCACGTCGCCAACGAGCTGGCTGCTTTCTCGGGCTGCCCTGAGCAGACAAGAGCATTACAAGCACGTGTTTCCTTTTGAGAAGCGGACAGCATGATCTCCAGCTCGGGCTCTACTTGGCTGAGACCAGGACACTCACCTTAAACACCTGGTCCAGTGTCAAGTAGCGATTGGCGCTGGGGTGTATGGTCCAAAAGGACACTTTACCGTTGGCAGATGTCTCCCGAACGAACATGTCGTGGAGAGAAAGGTTGTGGCGGATGGAATTCTGAAAGAGACGACACCCAGTCTGCAGCTACGCAAGCCTCAGAGACATCGCTTTTGATGACCCCTGCAAGGAAGCCCGCTCCCGGCCTCTCCCGCGGTACCCAGCTGAGGCAGGCACATGTTCTTCCGATCCTGCCAGCTCGCCCTCTCTCCCGAGCCTCCGAGCAACAGAGCCTGCCTCGGTCGGGAACCCATGTGGCCTGCTTTCTGAGGCTGCACAGCTGCCCCCCGGAAAAGAGGGGGCCATGATGCATCACACTGAGGTAAGAGTGGGGGAACATAACAAACCCCCTTCAGCCAGCACTGAGTGCCCGTGAGGAGTGCTGGCTGACATGGCAGTGTGAGCCTCAAGGCTCCCAGCCCTCCTGAGTAAAGCGAAGCGCTCTGCCTTCCAGAGGTGCCATGGATTGGGTCGTGAGCCTCACAATTTGTTGTCATTTCCATTAAGATCATTTCAGAAACCTACTTAATCCTTCTAGCTGGCGCCCTAGAATGTTGTACAAGTAGCACAAAAATGCGCTAGATGCTCCGCTGAAGAGCCGCCACAGCCCTCAGGCGGTGCAGATGAAGCGGAGCAGAGCCCTTTGTGAAGATGTTGCCCGATGTGGCAAGATCAGGTCCTAATCCCAGAGCTACATTTGTCTATAGTTGTATTTTTTTTTTTAAAGTTTTATTTACATATGTATACAAGAACCAGGGTGTAGCCAGAGGTGCCGGGGGTAGAGGATTCACCAGAGACAGCGTGGGGAGCAGAACAGATGCATCTACTGAAATCCACTGCTGAGGGGAGCGGCAGGCAGGTCAGGAGAGGTCTGCTGCGCCATGTGAGTCAGCTCCCTGGCTGGGGTTCGAACTTGTGCTACAGTGGCCGGTGATAGCTTGATAGCACTGAGACTTTAACCCCTGCGCCACCAGCGTGGTCCTTGTTATAGCTTTAGCGTTCTTTGCATCAACTGTTTGCCCCAGAGCAATGGACACAAACTCTCACACTTCTGTCTTAAATTGTCAGCCTGAGAGCCCTCCCTGGTGGCGCAGCAGGTTAAAGCACAGCACTAGGAAGCTTATGCCACTTCAGCATGAGTTCGATCCCCGCCTGCCCCGGAGCTGACCTCCATGGCGCAGCAGACCTCTCCTGACCCGCCTGCTGCTCCCCTCAGCAGTGGACTTTGTCTATCTGCTTGTCCTGCTCCCCACTCTGTCTCTGGTGAATCCTCTCACCACCCCTGGCCTGTACCCCAGTTCTGTATGCACAAATAATCTTTAAAAACAAAAAACAAAAAACTGTCAGCCCGAGAGACCACGGCTCTGGGTACAGTACCTTCCAGCCCGGCTTGGCAATGTGCTTAAAATAGGGGAAGTGGTCCTCGATCCACGTGTAGATGTCCTTCAAGGTCATGCGCTTCCTCTCTGTGCTGTTGATGGCGAACTGTATCATGGCCATGTAAGAGTAGGGGGGCCGCTCGGACACCGAGTCCTGCCAGGATGTGGATGAGCCTGGGGGCTCTTCAACCTGAGGTTTATGAGAAGTCGGGGGGAAGGCAAGAAGGGGGTCACATGGAGACCAGACCTGCCCGAGCCCCCTCAAAAAAGATCCCTTAAAAGAAACTTTCATCCTTTTAGAATCCTATTCCACTGAAAACAGTTACAGCTAGGGTCTTAGAGATGATCTAGCCCGGTCCTGAAATGATCCAGGACGCTTCTCTGTCACTGTTCGTTTTTTTCCCATCAATAAGCTCACATCCAGTCTTGTCCAGGCATGGCCACTCAGGAAAGCCTGAGCATAGCTTGATTCTTAAAGCGCTGATTTTGCAATCCAACCGCAGCCAGTTTTCAGACCTGGTTTTAGTCTGACTCCTTCTGCTGATGTGACATGGGTAAAGTCAGCTCACCTCACTGTTTGTATGAGAGAAGCAGTCCCGAGAGTAGGGGACAGACACAGGTCTGCATAGCTGGCGTGTGCTTACGTCTCAGCAAAGATCTAATTGTTTAAAAATATTGAGGTAGAACTTTACTGAGTGCACATTTTCAGTGAACAGCTTGATGGATTTTTACTTAAGTACACATCCATGTTAGTCTTCACTTTGAAAGACTGTTAAGAGAATGACTAGAGGATGTATATACCTGTAGAGTCGAGGCGTGCAGCCGCTGCGAAATCGCCGGGCCACACAACTGACTCGCATCCATCCCGATGACTGGGGAAGCACTGAAAATTCACCTCTAATTTCCTCTATTTGCTACTAAAATCTTCTAACCAAATGACCTTGTTAAGCATGCTCTATTCCTTTTGTATTGTTGGGATGCCTCTTAAAAGTTGCAGTGGCATCGCCAACGAAGATCTTTTCACCATTTCTTGAACACCTGCTAAGTACTACGAAGGACAAAATACCAAACTCAACATGGAACATACTGAGTCAGAGCGACCCACCCTCAAAGAAATCTCATGTTCGAGAGGAAGAGATCCCAGACAGAAGTAGCTCAAAAGCTATACAGACTAACACTCAGTCCTCTATACCGGCACTTGGAAACTTCGTTCCCCGGGTCACCTGATCCACTTCCCTTCACTGAAATTCCCTGCACTGGCGCTGACTTCCCTAGTGAGTGGCAGAACAGTTCACCTTCACCTGACTCTGCTCCAGGTGCTGGTTCTCCTTCTCCTCCACCTCTTGCTTGACGCCGCAGGAGCCCAGTCCGTCAGAACTCATCTTTCCAAGCCATTGGATGTTGGTCAAGCTACTGTCGAGAGTGCAACCTGCTGCCTCACCGCCAGCTGAGGGGAGACAATCCAAGACGTCACTTAGCTACCTGACCTGTTGCCCTGTAGGCCCATCGAAATGGGGGGCTGGGTCACCCGGGATCTCTACCCTCAGAGAGCAGGAATGCATGCTGAATCTATTGTGGCTCTCAGGTACGATGCCCCTTAAGAGATTTCAGGAGAAATCTGGGAGCACAGTTCTAATTGTGTTTCAGTCTGAGCCACACTGAGCCTTGGAGAATAGCCAAGGCAACTTACAAAAGGGTTACTGAGTATCCGCACAAAGAAAGTAATTTTTCTTCCTCATGCTTGTTGTCTCTTTTATTAAGATGGAGAAAAGATTCGGCTTCCTTAAACAGCCCATGGAAAGCATAAAGAGAAACAACAAACAAATCCTTTTCCAATAGAAAGCAGGCAACAGAAATGCTAAAGCATAACTGCAACCCTTTTGACAGTGCTCGAAGGATCTAGGTCAAGGTTTCAGCATGAAGAAAGCAAGACTTTCCCCTGGTTCAGGTTAGACGCCCGCCTGTGAAAAGTATCAGCATGGCTGACCGCAGTCGGCGCCTCCGTAAAGAAAAGGCTGGGCTCCGCACCCCTTTGCCATGCAGACCACATACCACAGCTCTCCCATCTCTGCCCAGGAAGGGCTCCAGGTGGTCTACGGTTCGCATCCTTCGCTGCAGACTTTGGCCCCAGCGGCTCAGGAATCACTGCTGCCCTCTTGGAGTCATTACTGGTTTGTGCTTGAGGCTGGGACCCTGGCGGGTGTGTGGGGGCTCCCCCACAGCTGATGAGGATGAACTTGTTGGGCCCAGTGCTGCCACTCTCTTTTCCTTTGGCAGTCAATGCTGTGATGATGCTCTGTATGTTGGCATTGTTGGGGATGGCCACCACTTGGGTGTTGGGCATGGTGGGGTGGTTAATAATCTTGATCCCAGCTGGAAACCTGCAAGGGTTGGACTCAGGCTCTTCTTTGGAGCCCTGCCCTTGACCAGCCTCTGGCTGGGCAGGAGACCTCTTAGGCTCCTCTTCTGCTGCTTCACCTGGGGCATTCTGCACAGGAAGGGGCAGCCTCCGTCTTTTGAGAATCAGTGGCCGACGGGGGCTGGCTTTCATGATGAATCTGTGCTTTCACTCTCCATTGAGAATCACAAGCATGGACCCTGGAAAGAGAGAATGGAGCAGCAGGATGTCAGAGATTTGTTAGGCTGAGAAGGAGAGGCAGAAGAGAGAGGTGTTCCTCTTTCTATCAATGCTCCCAGGGCCTCTGTAAATACCTCAGACTATACAAAACACGTTTTGCTAACAAAGCTAAAACTGAAATCAGTAATTCAAAGGAGAAATGTGGCGTTGGGTGGGTCAACATGGCCAAAGGTCTTCTGGAAGCTTAAGAATCTTTGGCTACAAAAACAAACAGGACAGCTACCAGAATGTGGAAATCTCTATTACTGCTTACGATACAGATCACCTGCAATGACTATAGGGACAGGAATGCAGGAATAGGAGGACTTTTGGTAATTAGGAGTCTGACCCCTTAAGTCATGCTAGGATATAGCCTTTACATATAAAAGGATCAATACCTACAGATAGTAATGAATACTATTGCTTTATAGTCGTACTACTGAGGAATCATCTCCCCATGCACAAAACTCAGAAAAAAGTGAAATTGTTCTATTCAAGGCTCATTTAGGGGAGTTGTTCATTTCACAGACCATTATCGAGCTATGCTATCCACGCATGCGTAAATACATGCATGTGTTTCTTCACAGTGAGAAGATGATTTTTACTACTTGCATGCAATTTATTCATGTTTTAACCTTTTCCCTACCTTCTCTTGCAGAACCAAGATTATCATCCTTATCATCTTCTGACTAATAGAATGTGTCAATATGCACAATTGATTTCCTAATGTTAAAGAAAATAGTTTCATCTTTAAAGAAACATGTCTTGTGGATTTTAATAGACACATGGACTCTCCTACCATTGTGTAAACATGGGTGATTCTTTGTAGAAGTACTTGGAGAGACAGAATAATGATTGCCTGACTCTTTTCAAGCTTCCTGAAATGACTGTCACACTCATGATACTTCCATCTGCCGAAAACGCAGACTTGTGCTGCACCTTGCCTCTTCCGTTCTATTTGTATCTGTTTCCTCAAATCTCAGTTTTACTTCCACCTCCTGTATCTTCCTGCCTCCCCTCGCTTCCCCATCAATCAGTAGATATAAATCATTTCTCATGCCTAAAATATCTTCTTGGCCTAAGGGTTAAATTTCCCTTCTACTCCCTGCCCCCACCCCACTTCCTATCACTGCCAACATTTTATATACAATCTGGGAGACTTCCAGAGTGGCCCCACCCCCTCCTGACCAGGGAAACCTTTCAGGGTTCTCAGGAATCAGGAAAAGGGACCCGCGGAGTCGAGGCCCGTCACTCAGTGGTGAGAGCTCTTAGGAGCAGTGGCGTGTGTGAGCACGTTGGGGCTGTGACAACGCAGAATAAGCCCCGTCTCCCTCCCAGCCTCGATCTGCCTTGGAAGCGGGGACCCCGGCCCACTGCAGGCTTCGAGCAGGGTGCAGAGGTCAAACTTCCAAGGAAGGCCAAGCGGTGTTTTGGCCTGGACAAGCCCTGGAGGCGGGATGCAGAAAAAAACACCGCTCAGACCATCTTTCCAGGCGGCTCCAAACCTCCACACGGGTCCCGCGACGCCGGCTGCTGGACCTCCGCGACCCTCGGCGCCGAGACCTCGCTCCCTGCCTGTGCCCGGGCCGGGCCTCGGGCTCCATTCCGCCGCCCCACTCACCTCCGGGCTGCGGTGGCCGCCGCGGCCGAGCTATGGCTCCTCGGGCGGGTTCCGGGCGCCTCCAACCTGGGGCCGAGCCAGGGTCCCGGTCAGGGACTCGCGCCGGGCCGGCCGGGTCCCCGGCGGTGCGGGAGGGGTGGGGAATCCCGGGGGATCCCGGGAGGGGAGGGGGTCCCGGGCCGGGGGCCGGGGGTGGGGTCGGGCACCGGAGCTTTCAGTTTGTTCCGCTGTTTGAAATTGGCGCCGGCGGAGCGTTGCGGTCACGTGACGGAGCGTCGCCAATCGGCGCCGGCCCTTGTCTCCGCGTTCCGGGTTCGAACGCGGCGGCGGCGGAGCGGAGCGGCGGTGGGGTTCGCGGCCCGGCGGGT